CTGGCCGTAGGTTGCTTTACAACGACCGTACTTCAGAATAGTGGCGTAGTCTTCATCGTCGATGGTGTTACTTCGGGCTCAATCGTGGCTTCTCGCGTTGAAGATGAATGTAATCGTACCGCTTCTTCTTGATGGAAATCGTGACCGTATCGTACTGATGATTCTTGGTGTAGGGCTCGAAACTCAGATCTTCTGATGAAAATAGTGACCGTACTATTGATGACCGGTATATGATAATTCTTGATCTTGAACGTGCTCACCGGACTCTTGGCTACTTCGATAAATCTGTTTTTCTCGCGACCGTCAACCGTCAATGTTCGAAAACGGTAACACCGCCGCGGCCTCACGGCCGCAGCCGTTACGTCCGCTAACTGCAGACGTACGTGCGTGACGGTCACCGCGCCGTGTAACCAACAACAACCCTTGGCGCGAATTTTCAAGGTCCTTTTATACGCTAGAGTCGCGCACTGTTAAGCCTATACCCTCGAAACCGACGTCACATTCCTTCGAATGGAATGTCCCTCGCGCTGAGAACGTTCAATGTAAACTCCTTCCCACGCTCTCCACAACCGCTCTGCATTCTTAGCATTCTTAACATCTACGCATAATACATGTTCAATATTACCCATGTTCAATATTATCTATGTTCAATATTACCTACTTTATTCAACTCATACCACATATGCTGCACTCAAACCTCACTCGCTCCTCAGCTACTCTATGCATACGCTTCTGGTGGTTGGTCAGGCCCGCCTTACTTCGGCAGACCTTCCCACACCCTCATATCTGCACACTCAGTCATTCATTCTTCTAACATTCCTGTCCAGTCTCGCCACATTTGCATCCCAAGCGTACTCATGTCCTCTCTGACATTCCCATTCATACAAATGCTCCATGCGGTCTTTCACCATGTCCTTCCATCCATCCCTATCTCTGCTCAGCCGCTCTACAATCTACATCAGTCCCGTCCACTCCAGCTTCCTTCAACATCCGCTTCCAATACAAGACAGTCTTCCTCTTACGCCCTTTCATCTTCCCAAAGCCTTCCAACCTCTCGTACCATCCTAGTACCATCGTTTTCGTCAGCCTCCCATTTCCCATTCTCATAACATGTCCCACTCGCTCCAACACACGCTTCTCAATCTTCCATCTCACACTCTTTACACTCAAACACTTCCTCACATCCCACATGTTCACTCCTCTCGCTTGCATATGCCTCAGAGGCTGGCCATTCCGATCACTCCACGCGTATCTATAACACTTATCCATCCACTTTTGCAACCGATTCATATCCTTTACATATCACATTCTCGCCTGACAATCATACAGCAGACTACTCTCCACACATGCCTCCACTACCCTCGCCTGACACTTCTTAGACATTCTCGACCCTTTCAGCCACCCTTTCACTCTTCACCACAAACCTACAGCTCGCTTGATCCTTTTATTCACATCCACTTCCGAACTCACCCAGCTCCCAAGTACTCTGATTTCACACCCCTCTTCCGTCACAAACTCAAGCACCTCCTCTTTCTCCTCATTGTTTCGTTCCTCCCACTGATTCATCATTTCTTTCACTGCTCTCCCACCATTCTCAATCTCACTCTTCACACCCACAAACGTAGTGCCATCCGCAAACAAAGCCAAGGACACTCTCACTCTCACACACTCACTACTCCCCTTCTCCCATGCACTCTCTCCTGCAAACGAACCCCCTGACTCCCATGTCCACGTCACCCCAACCTCTTCACCCCCGCTTCTTCTCGCCACCTCTGCTTGCCTCATAACCGCCTGATGGTACACATTAAACAAAATGGGTGACATCCAGGACGACGGTGGTGGTGGTGTGCGTGGCCTCCTCCTGCCTCTTCTCCTTGACGCTCGCCTCGATGCCGTTGTTGAACACCCAGCGTCGGTCCAGGGGCAAGTAAGGGGCACACTGAAAACATCATTTATATTGTAATTTTCTTTAATCTGACCAGGGCCCATACTTTCAAAAAAAGGTTAAGAGATCGTAAGTCCATCAGTCAATTACTGACGGCCACGCAAGCAAAATCCACCAATCATAGACAAGAAAATAGAGCGTAAGTACTTACGTTCACATAGCGAGCTTTGAAAGTATCCACCAATCATAGACAAGAAAATAGAGCGTAAGTACTTACGTTCACTTAGCGAGTTTTGAAAGTATGGCCCCAGGACATTCTGCACTGTTATCAAACACTGAGTTATCTGAAACTTGACATGCAAGAGGCACCTATTTAACACTGTTTTTAGACTGGCAACATCGATTAAATAAGGAAAACTCTTCAATTTGGCATTGACATTACAAACACTGGTATTAAACATTGAGTTGTTGACACTTACAAGTGGTATTAATTTATTATTATATATTTATATCTTAGACCTAAGGTATTTTACATTGCAATAAACATAAAAGTTCAATACCGGGGTTGTAAGTCAAAAATATTTAATTTTTTAAAATCAGGTTAAACTTTTCGCAAGTCTTACGCCCATTTGTTTGTTTCCGAGATTTTTGTCGTCCGCTGACAGCCTGACGATGATGGACACCTGATGCTCCCACACCATCGACCAGAAGAGATCGTCGTCGTCAGTCGTTTGCTGAGGGTCTTGAGTTGCTATGAAGCCGCCATCCTGGAGTTCAGGTGAACAATTAGGTCAAATTCATTTACCAAGTGGAATGTCGCACACAAATACACACACACACACAAACACAACTTAAAAGGTTTCACACAAACACACAGTTTGTGTGAAAACCTTTTAAGGTTTCACACCTGTGAAGGTTTCACCCCACAGTTTGTTTAAGTTTGTGTGAAACACAAACTTAAAAGGTTTCCTCCATAGCGCAGAAGTATTACGATATTGTTCCTTATTTTCATTGATTCAATCAGTGCAAGAAAACAATATGCCAGAATTCTCAGTGCATTTTCAAAATGATAAATTCGTTTTCTTGCATTACGTTTACATCAATTAATTGTAGCATAATCAATCGAATATTCAATTCAGTTCTCACCACGCGCTCGCAGTCTTGCTCTATAAATCTTGAACTGATGATGGAACTGGTTTACTCAACGACTTTCATTTACAACCTTTTTAGGATTTCGTTTAGTTTTTAATTGCAAACTTCATTTTGAATAGAAGCAAAATCAAATGATCCACACGCGCAACATTATTCGAGGTTCTCAGTACCATGAAAAAATTATAAGCGAGCTATGTATAGGACGTGCGGATTTTTGCAAATTTTTTATGAAATGTTTTGTTACAAATTCACGTATGAAAAAAGTTAACTTATATTAATTACCATTAACTTTGATTATATTAAAATTATTTCTATTAAATAACATTATTATATTCTAAATGAATTAAAACTGACAGTTTCCCCCAGAAAAATCTTATTTAACGCAGGCAACATCATCAACGAAACTTACGATGTGGGACGCGTTGATGTATTCCCCTGACTTCAACTTCACGCGGTTTTCATCAACTGGTGCATAAGAATTCGCTATTAGATTACAATTTTACATCAAATTCGTTATTTTCATATATAAAATTGATAGAATGAACCAAGTCGAACAATTGTGCAAATGATCCAGAAAAATTGATAATATGTCTTTGACACAATAAGAATTCTATCCCGCCTCTTATTTGATTTATATTTCTAGCATAAACATTTACAGAATCGAAATTAATCTGGCCTTACTATTAAAAAAATTGTTTAAGTTTGTCTACTTTTTAATAAAGTATATATATGAAGCATATATATCTTCGGACTGATAATTTTAAATTAATAGCGAAAATGTTCCAGGGTAGAAAATGTGTCTTAATATCTTATAATTCCCTTGAGTTAACAATAAAAATTAAAGCGAGGTGCAATGCTTAGAACAACTCTGAAATTTGCCGGGCTTTATATATCATAAGGATAACAAATTTTTAATAATATGGATAAACTCACATGGAAGAACGTCTGCGTAGCGGTTTTGGAACTTGTTGCAGGGTTTCGAAGCTTCGGTAGTTTTTTTCGTGGGCTTGGGTAGTCTGTTATATTCGTCAATGATCTGCGCAGACATGAATCAGATTTAAGTTATTGGCGCTCCAAATGCAACTCGTGACAAAGAAGTATTCGTCGCCAATGTTTATTTTCAGGAATTCTCTTTCGCAAAGAAACAATTTTCCCTGGATACTTGAAGAATCCATACTCAATTTTCGAAGTTTCCTGATCAAAAGTAAAGGCAATCCATGAGTTTCGGTGGAAATTTCAGAATCTGCGTCAAAATTGAAAAAGCTTCAGCTGAAATTCTAAGATTTTTTCATGGTTCTTGAAGGATGAACGGTCTCTCAAGTGTATGTAGTACTGATGAAAGTAACACCGAATAATGAAGCTGAAAAGTAGTGAAACTAATCACTCAACACTCAAGAATATCTCAAAACTTGTGATACTCACCTCCTTACTCACTCCCGGCGACATCACATCAGGGTACCCATCATAGATCGGCAGTGTCAACAAGGGTATCTCACATTGACTACTCGCGTCCGAAGACATCTGCGTGTATCGACGGTCAGCTAGTGGGATATTGCCTGCCGTGTCTCTTTCAATTTTATTAGATGCTAATTCAATATCTTTTGCCGGTGCCTCCTTGCAGCAAGACGCGCCAATTTGGCGTCTGAAGTAAATTAGAAGACCCATCACCATGAGGAACAAAGAGATGCCCACGAGCGCCCCCACGATCAACCCGATGTTTGGCTCTGTCATGAGATAATATAAATTTATTTTAGAAATACTTATGCTATTACTAATACTATTTTAGAAATTAGTATTAATACTAATACTATTTTAGAAATACTAATACTTTCACGGGCATTTAAAATAAAATGAAAAGTTTTCTCACAGAGTATACTAATTTGTGAATTCATTGTGGCTGAAATTCTATTAATATGAGAGTCAGTAGAAACTCTGAACTGGCTGCTAATGTCCATATTGAAGCGTCATCCGAAGATTGACAGACAATCTTTAATGAACTGAAATGAATTCAAGCTGTTCTGACGCTAATTCCAATTAATACATCAAAACTTTATGTATTGTCATCAGCTTCGTATATTGATAATCCTGATCCAGCATATCAGTTCAGCTTCAATCTTCTCGGCACGCACCGGTGATCTATCTCTCATCCTCATTCAACTCAAAACGGGTTTTTTATTGGGGTTAGGTGGTGGCAAGTGGGTCAAGCAAGGCATTACAGCGCAAATGTGGGTCAAGTCACCTTACTACAAAAACCATTTCTACGAAACTCGTGTTGGTTGCGTCCCATATAGAAACAAGTCCTGCAGTGGTTTGTAAACACTATCATCCAATGTCCACTCTTTCTTGCTACGAAACTGGCAGTCATTCATGATTAAAAATTTTCATTTTGCATGTTTTGAATTTATTATAATTGTAAACTTTCAAGAGATTTAAATACTTCATTTTGCCTCATCACATAACAGAGTAATGTATTAGGTGCATAAATGAAATAATTTAATTTAAAAGAAAGAATTCGCTGACTGTAACGTACTAATTAAAACGCTTAATTACTGATTCGTGGAACGAGAATGTAAGTGAGAAATTTTTATTGCAGATTATTAGAATTATTTGAAGGTTGTTAGGTGAGGTAATGAAAGCATGAACATATCTCACCTGAAGGAGGGAACGAGGAGGCCGACGGCGAATCGTTGTTCAAGTTCTTTCTGAAATTGTCATCTGTTGTCCAGGGTAAGAAAATGTCCGCATCAATAAGTATATCATATCCACCATATAATAATTTACCCGCTGAGCTCATTTTGATATTTTATTGATCGATCATGTCACAAGTTGATTCATTCAAAGGACGTCTGTTTTCCTCCTAAATATCTTATAACATCTGGAATTTGTTTTTATTTTTTAGACTATTAGATTCATCTAAGCGTGTTGAGACAATACATCCTGTGTCATGTAATTTAAGGCTCACGATCTTGAAATGGAATTTAAGGATGTGTAAAGTGTGGCCATAAAAATGTCGCTGTAATATTATTACTAACTTCCTCACTCACCATCTTCCTCACTCACCATCTTCCTCATTCACCATCTTTTTGTAAGTTTGTTTGCGTGGAAGGCAGATATTGATTGTGAGCAAAACAGATGTACTCTATCGTTGACCTTAACTAAAATTAGTCGATTGAGAATTAGGTAATCCAGCATACTATTTGCATTTCATGATTATTGTATACCACATTATCATAGATGCATATAGTTATCGGGACATCCAAGTGTCACATATATTGATTACGAGTATAAATATTACAATCGTTATGTTTCTTGTGGTGTCATGTTCAACTTTTGTTAAGAATGTTATATCACGTTTGAAGGGGCACGTTTGAAGAGGACTGATGACAGGATGACTTTTAATTTCTTAGTACGGTACAAACGAAATCAGGTATGTCCCGAAAGTGTAATAACTCCGTGAATTTAAAAGCAAAGAAAACGCCAAACAAATTCTCCACATCGATATTGAAAACGTTTTGGAGTCCAGCTCCATCATCAGTGCGACGATCTAAAAATGAATAAAATCACTTTTTTAAGTCGAAATTCTAAAACAGACATAAAACCTAAACAAGATCTAACATTATATCGAAAAACAGGACTCGATCGGAACAACTTAGGCCTAGGGGTCACGAAATGAATAAAACTTAAGAAAAACTACAAAACGCATTCAATATCGATATGGTGAATTTGCTTGGAGTTTCCTTTCTTTTAAATTCCTCGTGAAATTGCGATATAAGCAGACTGATGATATAAGAACTCCGTGAATAAATGGGAATTAGGCGACAAAGTACTGTTAGGGTAAAAGACTTGGGGGCTAATTGTCAGAGATGAAATTCGATTTAACTCGTTCTATAATTGATCCACGATATTCAGTTTATTAAATAGTGAAAACTTATTACCAATCTACTTTGAGCTAAAAGATTTAATGGTCCTATACTGTAATGTTGCAATATCAAATATAGTGATGGAAGAAAAAATAATTACCCATGTGCCATGGACATCGCACATGATCCCACATCAATCCGAAGAAACAGCAAAACTTTGAAAGAGACATGAATATTTATAACACTGAGGCTAAAAATATAAAGACTTTTGTAATAGGTGATGCTGGATATCATTTACATGTTTAATAAAATATTATAGAGACTCATGTCTGATTATCAGAAAGAATAACGATGTCCAAGTGATTCTTCTTGTGAAAATTATTTACAGTCGCATACTTGGTATATGTAAATGTAAGGAATGGTAATCAGCCTCGCTGAATATTTTCAGCACCAATTTTTAAATGCATTCATTGGGACCAAATATTTGATTTAGCATTTATTTTTAAATGTTTTCCTAAAATTTCACGCATTAAAAGTAGCAGAGAAATAATTTCTCCGAAAAAATTGTAATTTAATATTATATTTAGTGGGTTTTGTTCATCGTAGCATCTCAGTTCATGTTATGTTATGAAATGCAACGGAAAAGTAACTGCCTAGCTGAGAGTACTGTGAAAAATTCATGTAAAAACTAATTAAAAAATAGAGGCTTTGTCAATAATTTTTAATGTAATCACTCATTTCTTTCTAAAATCACTGAAGCGAAATTCTAATTCAAGCTTTTGAGGCGGATTCTTGAGCGACAACAAATGTAAAAGAATCCTGAATAAAAACAATAAAGTTATTTTTCCATCTCACACTCCTATATATGGGATGGAACAGAACTGTCAATTGGAAAGGGTATAATTCCTTGATAAACTTTCATCGGAATATTATCAACAACAGAACGCCCTCGGTTTTAATTTGTTCTATATCAAGTTTTATATGTGGACAACTGATAAAGAAAAGCTTGTTATAATTTCACTAGGACCTAATTATGATGGTTCATTAATGACGTAATTTTGGTGTCAGTTTAAAAAATTCTAATGTGAAACTTGACGATTGATTCGACACCGACGAAAATTTCAACTGTGCATTAATTAATAAATTAAATGCCTTAAATGTATTAAAGGTCCAAAGGACACAAATGTAGTGATGTTAGAGTTTTTTCAAGCCTCATACTCGTTCACACATTGTGGCCATGTGCTATAGTGTCACCATGGAATGCTTGTGGCGTGGCATAGGTGCGTGTGTTTATGACTGTTAATGATATTATCGTAATCCATTCACATTTTGGGTTATCTAATATATCTATTCTACTTTTATGCTTTGAAACACCTGTAATTATATCAATTTTAATTAAGATGCAATTTTAATATTTCATTTGATATTCAATCCAGTTATTTGGATAATGTTGCATCAGCAATAAGAGAATATTGTGACGTACAACGTTAAATATAAAGCAAGTCAATGTTCCAAGATTACAATAATGTCTTGTTTGATTGAAAATAAAAAAAACTGCTCTCAATGACACAAATTAGAAGCTCATAAGTTAATATTTATTTTTTAGAGCTTCATCTAGCAATTCGTCTGTACCATAATGTAACTACGTAGATGCTATGTCGTTGCTTTACAGCCGCTCTGATGACATGAATGTGAACAAGAGGCTAATGCGTTACGTGATGGCAAGAAATTCAACAATGTCTCGAATGAAATTGTGATGCTTTGCCAATGTGATTAATTTCCATTATCCGAAGTTTGCCAGCGAATGTGCATTAGGCTAAATCTTAGCGGAATCTTAGCGAATAAAATACATTTGTGTCAGAATTTAAATTTCTCAGTACAAATTCATAGAATATATGAATTTCATAAATAATTATATTATACAATGGTAACAATAAAATCTTTATAAAGTTCACAAAATTCCATGCATACTTACGCGCAAGTTTCTTGGAAGTTCATGACGTATTCGCCAGTGCCGCTTTCTTTACACTTGCATCTGAGGCGGCCGTTCTCTAGCGTCGTGCATTCGTACTCAGGCCCGGGGCAGGAAGAATTGCTGCACAAATCTGCACACGAGGAGAGAGATGAGGGGAAATATCTGCACATGAGGAGAGAGATCTGCTCATGAGGAGAGAGATCTGCTCATGAGGAGAGAGATCTGCACATGAAGAGAGAGATCTGCTCATGAGGAGATAGATCTGCTCATGAGGAGAAAGATCTGCTCATGAGGAGAGAGATCTACTCATGAGGAGAGAGATCTACTCATGAGGAGAGAGATCTGCACATGAGGAGAGAGATCTGCTCATGAGGAGAGAGATCTGCTCATGAGGAGAGAGATCTACTCATGAGGAGAGAGATCTGCTCATGAGGAAAGAGATCTGCTCATGAATTCGCCAGCCTGAAGCTTGAAGTCATCACCTGTCCAATGTAACGACATCAAATTTCTTTTTTATACAAATAGCAATCCTAGATGAGAGTGGTTGAGGTAACAGGGACGCTATTGTAAAATTCACGGTTTAATTCCTATGAACCATGGGAAATTAATGTACAGGCTTGAACGATACAGTAAGTTTATATAAAAGCAAACTAGAACCCTGTTAATCGAAGTAGGAGGAGGATAGCTTTGCTAAAATCACGAGCCATCTTCAATTTCATTCTATTGCGGTAAATTAGTTTCGTTCGGACTCAAGTCGACATTCAACTTTTCATTACTATAAAGGTATGGTAATATCTTTCTGAATATTATTATCGTGTCAAATTTGATTGCGAATTGTCACTTTTACTCAATTACCGAAAACTCGAATACAGCGTTGCTTCTGCTGCGCACTTGAACGTTCCTTCCTAGGACTGCACTCAACTGAAATACAGGCAATATCAGGTTATAGACAATAATAACACTCTGAGCCTTAATATAAAATTTTTATTTATTTTTATTTATTTTTAGCAGACGCAAACTTGCGTTCAGCGTCTGCTAAAAAGTAATTAGAATCTTCAACAGTTTATTTTGATTTGTGATGTCATCTGAAATCAAGAAGTCAGTTAATCATTCCAGAAAATGAATGTGTAAGGGAAACTAACCGCTTCGTGAGAAATTATTCAGCAACCTGCGATGGTTTAAGAGGGTACATCTCACTGCCTTATGGACGTTGTTTGCATGGTAGTTGTATTGTGGTACGCCGACGGTGAGAGTGCCGGTGTAGAACCCCACGGTGGTGACAGGAAGCGTCAAGACGGTGTCTGCAAGACTTATCACGCAGTCTGAGGCGCAAGACGCGGAGGAATCGCAAACCAAGCTTTGGTTATTACAAGTCTCGTCAGCACACACGTCTGTAGATCAAAAATTGGGCATGTGTATTTTATTCAATTTACAAAAACGTAGCCTAAAATGCACGCGGAAAAGCTCATTTGCATGTATTGATAATGTTATCATGAATATTCCATATATATTTTTTTATACATTTTTCAACAATTTCAACTTGAGCTTGAAGTCTTGATCATTCAATTGTTAGAAAAATACAAGATGAAACGCCACTCACACCTTGTTGAATCCAATCATTTAACCATATAGCTTCACGCCTAGATTTCTCAAACGCCCTATTATTTAGAGCTTGCGAGATAAACCCTAAAATACTTTAATTAGCACCGGTCCAACATCACAAATATAAGTAGATTAAATACTAGCGCCGCAAAAAATGAAAACGAGAAACATAAGAAAGATAGTAGGTACAAGCCACACTGAAACGCAGAGAAAACTTCCAGTATGAGAGTGTTGTTATATGGAACTCGTGAAAGAAGCAAGTGATATGCTACAATACACATCATAACGTAAATGTTACGTATAGTACATGAGATTCTGCAGCTCCGGCAAGATAAGACGTGCGGCCAGAATAAAAAGAGGCTATGGAGTCATACGGCTGCTAAATGATATACCTGCTAAATAAGTCTCGCAAATATGAGTCTGTGATAAGATAGCGGGGTATGAGTCCATTTAATCAGAGCACCTCGCAACTCACGCTGTAGTTACATACTCATCATGAAACAGAATTTGAAAAAAATTCTTCATGTAACTGAGTTGTAGGTAACTGTTTTGGCTACTTTCAGGGAACTCTTTCTTAAAAAATATAAATCACAGAAGCACATAACACTGGCATATATTGGTTTAGAAATCGCAATTTAACATAAGTTAATATTAGTGTAGATATTGCAGCGAAGAGTCACGAAGGTTGAATTAAAGAATAATTTTATATCTGGCGTTTTGACGATATGCAAGCGATAAACATTCAGTCGTTTTTTTTCTCATTTGTTACGGTTTTGATCCGAGATCTCACCTTCACAAGCGCATCCACTGCAATGCGGCTGGTCAATGACTGAAAAATAAAATTAATTATGAATTCCTTGCATTTTTCACTTTGACCTTGCATGTTATGGCGTGATCGTGAACATGAAAATAAAGTTTAAAAATTAACCCTCTCTGATGGAGGAGTGTAATAATGTTTAATAAATCAACATAATTCACAAGTTAAGAGACCAATTTAAAAGAATTTCACCGAGAAAATCAGTGAAAATCGACGCAAGGAGAATACATTTCCATAATAAATTTTAATACAATTATTTAAGTGACGGAGTTGTGTAACAAATTTTTCAACTTTTAGCATAGAACATTTCAGGCAGATTGAACAAATTGAGAGATATATTCCCAAGTGGATGAAGACTGCTTAGACATATTATATATTATAACATATATTAGATCAGAATATAATTAGACATATGAGAATATATTCTCCATTGGAGGTGACATGCATTCAAATCTAATTCCCTCAAAAGGCTTTGTCATATATTATAATTACCTTTCCCACTCCAAACCCTAAAACGTCTTCGAGGTAAAGGTCAATCAGTCACTCACAAATACATTCCCTCAGGGTTGAGTTGTAGTCCGTGTAGCCAGGCTTGCACTGACATTGGTAACCGCCTCCAGCATCCAAGTTCACGCACACTGAGTTTGGCCAGCAGAACGTGTTCTGCGGCTCATTACATTCGTCTTTATCTGCATTGGAAAAAACATTGATTAAAGGTTCGAATACGAGCCGTCTTCTAATTGGTGAATGGATGAAATGAGGTACTCGACTCAACATTATTTTTTGTGAGCGAGAAATAACATTATGAAATTCTTGTTAAAAATAAACTCAGTTTATCAACATGTCAGGAATTGTTGTATTTTAATCAGGTTCACCTATAAAATATTCCAGGTTGTAAATAAATCGGTAAATTACCAAACAGGTAAGAACCAGTGATGTTTTCGAACATTAAATCCGATTACTGGTGGCACTCAGAGTAATATCTGCAACAAACTTTGGAATTATTACAACCGAGATTTCATTTTCTCACCCGTGCCGTTAGCAAGGAATCCAATCCGTGGAAATTGAACAACAACGGAGCCATTTGCAAATCGAGAGCACACGAATGTCTCGTTAGAACAATCGATGTAATTCTCCTCTGAAATTCAGAAACAATTTCACTCTTCGTCGCATTTTTCACAATGATAAATACCTTCACAATCATGAATAGCCTCGTAATTCAGTGTAGCCTCATATCTGGAATAGCCTTATAATCGTGAAAAAATTAACAATTGAAACGTCATTGCCAGGATTTAACTTCAACTCTAAGCATTAACTCCATTAATATCCCTAATGATTCTATTATTTATATATTTACGCCCAAAAAGTGAAACATATAGGGATTTAAAATTCCTGTCTTATTCCGGCGTACTCATTGAAACATGGGAATGGTGAAGATAAACGAAGAAATAAATCGCAGCAGGACATAGACATGGCATTACGTAACTTGGCTTAAAACTTTTTATGGATTTCGAAATTATTGATATATTATTTAACCCTTAGGCCTTAGCGAATTATTATATGAATGATTACTCTCAAGTTTCGAACGATAAAAATAAAATTATAATCACAACTATCTTGAATGAATCTGAGTAACTTTACTGTTATGTTCAGTTTTGATTGGATACTATAAACGTGGCTAGACGTACGAATCTCGCAGTGTGTGCCGTTGCCTTCGAAGTTCTTGGCGCAGAGGCAGTGGTAACCAACGGTGTCGTCAAGGCAGATTTGGGTGCAGTCATTCCACATAGGATTCGAACACTCGTTGTATGCTGTCAGTAAACAGAGCAATTAATTTTATTTCCGTTACACGAGAGACTCATACTTATGTAAAACATTATATCATTCCATTGCGAAAATCCAAATTCAGTCTCAGCTAAATAAGAAAAGAAGATATTTATATTCAAGTAATTAAAATTCTTGTCATATAATATTTAGAGCATGAATATAAAGCAAAGAATCAAATTTCATATAACCTTGGATTTATAAGCCAGACAAAATGTACTCACGAACGCAGTGCGTGTCGCTGGCCTTGTACTGAGTATCGAGACATGCGCAGTGTACGACACCAGGCAACTCCACGCATTTCTCGTCGTCCTTTGCACAGGAATCGGCCTGACATTGTTCCGCCTCTGCCAGACGAACGTGAACACCGATCAACTTAGAGAACTTATCACTAACAATATTCCCTCCAAGTTTTACCAGCCAATAATCAATTAGTATGAAACTGATTCTACCGAACTCAATATCGAAGCTTGAATTTCACTGTAACCTTCATCCAGATTTAGTGAAATGTCTTTAAATAATAAAATCTAATGAATGAGAAGCTCCTTTCAGACTGAATTCAATCATTCAGTTCTGTATTTGTAACATGGAATTTAAGTTCAAAGAAGAACTTTTGTTACTAAGGTTTCTTGAAAACTATTTTCCTCGTTTATGGTTTCTCTTATCGTGAATCCATGAAAAATGATTTATGCCTCGAAATTAATGCAACCGTCCCAGTTTATGAAAATCCTTAGTGTTCTCGAACGACCGTACAACATTGAAGGAATTTAGATGAATGCTTCCAGCAGATAATTGAATGTTTTATTGAAAAATTATTTATTCCTACCCTGAATGCAGAGCCCTGTGACGCTATCCCTCGCCCATCCATCCTTGCACTCGCACGTCTGCAAATCAGCGTTGGGGCCGCATTCCGTGACGGGATACAAGATGTCTTTAGCTGCAAGCAGATTAAAAACTTAATTAAAAATTATCAACCAAGGAAGCCGCAATTAATATCACGTAAAAATTAATTTGAACCTCGCTACTGAACGTAAGAAGAAAAAAGTATAGAAATAGTATAGAAAAAATAGTAGTGAAAAATGTATTCCTTGTCATTAAAGTCAGCTTATCAATGAATACTTATAAAGGAGGCGCCAAACCAACCGTTATCAATAAATCAATGCGAGGCGCCAAACCGTTTTCAGGTTTATGCTCAATAATAGTTGGCTGCTATCATGGACTGCGCAACTCATTATTTTCCCGATGGCTATAACTTTACCAATATGGTGAGATTAAAGTTTAATACATGTCGATCGAGCAAGAATCTGCATTAATTTCTTCATCGATCCGCCCTAATCTTCATCGATCGATCAAGACCTGATTGACTGGGATGAAGAACAAGAAGCCAGTTTTGCACACTGAATAACAATTGTAACTTCAACAGTTTCATGATGCTCTAAAACGAAGCTAAGCTCTCGATTTATCACATGTGCGGCTTTCTGTGAACTTTTTAGTGAAGCTGTAAATAATGAAAAAACACTTCAGCCATGGCAAGATAAGTCGAATATTCTCTTTGGTTTATTTCTATTGATTACGCACTCATGAAAATACAGCGAAAGATAACTGGGAATTTGAACTCGATTAATTAGAACTGTACTCTCTATCATCATTTTAATCTCATAGTATCATTAATAATAGAAATACTGAAATTATATTGGGAATTAATACAGGAGTTAGTACTGATAATCCTCGATTTACGACATTAATCCGTTTGTGAACTTTATTGCCAATCAATTTCAAACGCTAGTAAGAACATAAATAAACATTGCAGCAACGATGGAAACAAACACATATTGAGTTTTATGATGCTGGTGACTCGGTCTTAATCAATCCCAGCAAAGCAACCGCAAATTCTGTCGTTGCTGCACGTAGTTCACGGTGCAAGGCAAAACCAAATAATACAAAATAAATTATTTCATAATAATGAGATATACGAGGTAAGAAGGCTTCCCTTGTTAATGAGAGTTACGAGGTAAGCACAAATCGCGTAACTCGAGCCCGTCCTTAACTTCACTGATAACTGTGTCAAGCGAAATTTTAGCATCCGAGTATATATGAAATAGCAGTATGCAGAAAATTACATATACGTTATAATATGAATACAATTAAAAGTATTACAATATTGACGTTCATAGATTATTTATAATTAATTTAGAATATTACGAAAAATGTGTGCAGTGAGAATCATAACAAATATTGCTGCAGTCTCCCCTGACCAACGCAGTCGTTGACTGAGTAGTCGTAGAGCAGCGACGATGTTCGACATTTGCACGAGGAGCCAGACTGTACCGACACTTGCACGTTGCAGAAACCTATGGTAAATGTTGTAAAAATGTTATAAATACAGTACGATTAAACTCCAAGGATTTACTCTCATGAACTTCTTAAAATTTTCAATCAATCAGAAAAGTGTATGAGAAACCTTCAATTCTTATTAAATCTCAATATTAAAAATCAAATCTAATCAAAGTCAATTGTGCATAGAGATTTTTTGGTTCACTTAGGGAAGCCTGAGTTTCGTGTCCTGCAAAAATACTGCCAATATGGATAAATTAATTTTCAACTATCGATTTAATTTAAACTGAGAATTATCATGTAATTAAGTTGTAATTGCTTTGGTTAAATTTGCATTTCCAATGGAGAATTAGGTCATGATATCTAACATGCAAAAAAGGGCTCTATATTACTACTCAATAGAAGAAGATAAAGATATTATGAACATTTGAGTAACATGAATATATTTCATACCTTCCACCTCCAGGGTGCTCGTCATGCCTCCAGAAATGATGCACAGCATAAAAAATACCATGGCAGCGCCCATTTTAGTTCCGTTCAATAGCTAGTATTGTCTCAAAAATATTTAAGGTGATGCTGAATTGATAAGATTCCAATATAGATTAAAACAGCTGCCAAAATATTTCCTGCTTCGCTATTTTCTATTTATTCAAATATTGCCATAATTTATCTCTTGGCTATCATTTTCTGCACAAAACAGCACATTTCATCTCTCCAGAAATCTCATTCTTTCACTTTGAATATTCTTTACGAAAATTATGTAACCATTATCCTGGATAGATTCTATAATTTTTAATCATTAATACTAGACGAAGGCCGATGATTGGCAATCATACTTGTGATATCAAGGATCACACAAGCTTCAAATTTACAAATTTTTACGATCGAGGATAAAATAGTCATGATATTAGAACTCCGGTTCAAATATTTTTAAACGTACACAAATTTTGAAACTAAACTACAGAAACATGCCGTAGGCAGAAATAATTTTGTGATATTTGAAAAATATAAGCTTATATTTCCATTACTCCTATCACGCAGCGCAAGTTTCGACCGACACGGCCGTGGCACAGACTTCAACTGTCGAGCCTTGCGCCTTATCTCTACTGATATGGCCTATACGTACGTGTCATGCATTTACTCAAGATAACAAAGGGGATATTGCAACTGACTTTCTACACATAAGAAAAAAATTTTCGTTAGTAACAGCTCTTAATAGTTATAGTTGAAGCTTTCATTTAATATACCATGAAATTTTTTCTCATAGTTTATATTCACTTCACATCCACTGCTGTCACTAATATTCAAATTGATATACCATATTTAATTTAATATACCATGAAATTTTTTCACATTGTTTATAATTTATATTCACTTCACATCCACTGCTGTCACTGATATTCAAAATGCGAACATTCCCACGGTCATGTTAGCTGCCAATCAGTAAGCAGCTGCTAAGTTTAAGTTTGCCGTTTCCTGACAGTTTGTTTCTTCTGCCTTTCGCTGATTATTTATTTTATTTATCATTCAACAACTAGGTTCTTGGAGTGATGGCTGACCTCATTGTGGTGACTATTTCCAACAGGAAAACTTGATACTTTATTAATTTAAATTCTGTATCACAGACGTAAATTACCATATATTGTCTAAATCCTTATATTTGATAATAATATAATTTCGGTCAGAAGACGAAGGTTATCATTTGGGTTCTAGTAATTCACTATTTAGTTTGGCCCGTTTCACTCCACAATATTTTTTGTTCATCGGTGGGAGCAACTTATCACATTTCTTCCAATGTGAATTTAAAAGATTAAGGATGACCTTTATAGATACAAGCAAAGTCCCAAGACAACAAGCGCTTTTTTTCGACTGCTAATTAACTTGACCACTTCTGTATTTGTCACCCAATGCATATGCATCATGGAGTGAGACTCAGCGGGCGCCTTATCGGGAGTGGCCACTTCAAGGGGCGAGATGATGCGGGGGCGATGGCATGATCCGGGGGCGATGGCATAATGCTGGGGCGATGGCATGNGATCTGCTCATGAGGAGAGAGATCTGCTCATGAGGAGAGAGATCTGCTCATGAGGAGAGAGATCTGCTCACGAGGAGAGAGATCTGCTCATGAGAAGAGAGATTTGCTCATGAGGAGAGAGATCTGCTTTTGAGGAGAGAGATCTACTCATGAGGAGAGAGATCTGCTCATGAGGAGAGAGATCTGCTCATGAGGAAAGAGATCTGGATCTGCTCATGAGGAGAGAGATCTGCTCATGAGGAGATGCTCATGAGGAGAGAGATCTGCTCATGAGGAGAGAGATCTGCTCATGAGAAGAGAGATTTGCTCATGAGGAGAGAGATCTGCTCATGAGGAGAGCCGAGAATGAGTTTCATGACAAGATCAAGAGCAGTTCTCTAAAGTTTTAATTGGCGACAGATGAAGATCCCACTGTATGAACTAGCTTGTTTCACATTTGTATTTGTTATGACCTTAGTTCAGTATTGAAGATACGAATCCAATGATAAATGAATAAATGTACTCAAAAAATCTGCTGGATTATAACCTTCGACCCTGACGATGATGTTGTCGTGGGCAGTAATAACCCCGCTGGGGAGGGCGCAAGAGTCAGAGTTGCTGATGTTGAGGCAGGCTGCTTGGAGCAGCTGAACAATATCGTCAGGCTTGGTGTTCGCCAGCCTGCCGCTTGAAGTCATCACCTGCCCAATGTAACGACATGAAATGTCTTTTTAATACAAATAGCAATCCTAGATGAGAGTGGTCGAGGTAACAGGGAAATTATTGTAAAATTCGCGGTTTAATTCCAATGAATAATGGGAAAATAATGTACAGACTTGGACGATACAGTAAAGTTTACATGAAACCAAACTAGAACCCTGTTTATTAAAGTAGGAAGAGGAAAGCCTCGATAAAATTCAATTTCTTTCTATTGCGGTAAATTCGTTTCGTTCGGACTAAGTCGACAGTCAACTTTTTATTATTTTCAAGGATATGGTAATATCTTCCTGATTATTGTTATCGTTTCAAATTTTATTTCGAATCGTCACGATTACTCAATTACCGAAAACTCGAATACAGCGTTACTTCTGCTGCGCACTTGAACGTCCCTTCCAAGGACTGCACTCAGCTGGAATACAGACAATGTCAGGTTATAGACAATAATAACACTCTGAGCCTTAGTCGAAAATTACAAGAAAGTAAACACACTTACGTTCAGCGTCTGCTAAAAATTTATTGTAATCCTCAACAGTATATTTTGATTTGTGATGTCATCTGAAATCAAGAAGTCAGTTAATCATTCTAGAAAATGAAAAGGTAGGGGATAGTACCCGCTTCGTGATAAATTATTCACCAAACTGCGATGGTTTAAAAGGGTACATCTCACTGCCTTATGGACGTTGTTTGCATGGTAGTTGAACTGTGGTACGCCAACGGTGAGAGTGCCGGTGTAGAACCCCGTCGTCTTGACAGGAAGCGTCAAGACGACGTCTTCAAGACTTGGCACGCAGTCTGAGGCGCACGACACGGAGGAATCGCAAACCAAGCCGCGTTCGTTACAAGTCTCGTCCGCACACACGTCTGCACGGAACAAAATTGGGCATGTGTATTTTATTCAATTTCTAAAAACATAGCCTCAAATGCCCTCGAAAAAGCTCATTTGCATGTATTGATAAAATAATCAATGATATTCCATTTATATTTTTTATACATTTTTCAACAACTTCAACTTGAGCTCGAAGTCTTGATGTCTCAATTGTTAGAAAACCACTCACATCTTGTTGAATCCATTATAAAACCGTTAGCTTGATGTCTGGATTTCCCAAACGCCCTATTAGTTAGAGCTTGCGAGGTAAACTCTAAACTTGGACCGGTTTAGCACCGGTCCAACACCACAATGTAAGTAGATTAAATACTAGCGCCACAAAAAATGAAAAGGAGATACCGAAGAAGGATATGTGGGTACAAGCTAAACAGAAACGCAGAGAAAACTTCCAGTACGAAACTCGTGGAAGAAGCAAATGATATGGCTACATGCAATACACATCATAACGTAAATGTTACGTATAGTACATGAGATTCTTCAGCAGCTCCTGCAAAATAAGACGTGCGGGCCAGAATACAAAGAGGCTATGGAGTCGTACGACTGCTAAATGATATACCTGCCTCATGCAATAAGTCTCGGAAATATGAGTCTGTGATAAGATAGCGGGGTACGAGTCCATTTATTTAGAGCACCTCGCAACTCACGCTGTAGTTAAAAATTCATCATGAAACAGAATTTAAAAATTCTTCAGGTAACTGAGTTGCAGGTAACTGTTTTGGCTCCTTTTTGGGCAACTATTTCTTAAAAAAGATAAATCACAGAAGCATATAAAACTGGGATATATTGGTTTATAAATCGCAATTTAACATAAGTTAATATTAGTGTAGATATTGCAGCGAAGAGTCATGAAGAATAAAATTAAGAATAATATCATATCTGGCATTTTGATGGTATGCAAGCGATAAACTTTCCGCCGTTTTTTTCTCATTTGTTGCAGTTTTGATCCGAGATCTCACCTTCACAAGCGCATCCACTGCAATGCGGCTGGTCAATGACTGAAAATAAAATTATTTATTAATTCCTTGCATTTTTCACTTTGACCTTGCATGTTATGGCGTGATCGTGAACATGAAAATAAGTTTAAAAAAATTAACCCCTAGCGATGGAGGAATTGAATAATGTTTGAGCCGTATGGCTCAAACTCGGCACGAAAAATATTTAATAAATCGACATAATTCCCAAATTAAGAGACTTATTGCAAAGAATTTCACCGAGAAAATCAGTGAAAATCGACGCAAAGAGAATACACTTCCATAATGAATTTTAATACAAATATTTAAGTGACGGAGTTGTGTTCCATAAAACATTCCAGGCAGATTGAACAAATTTAGAGATATATTCCCAAGTGGATGAAGACTGCTTAGACATATTATATATTAGAATATATTAGAGTAGAATATAATTAGATATATGAGAATATATTCTCCAATGGAGGTGACATGCATTCAAATTTTAATTCCCTCAAAAGGCTTTGTCATATAATATAATTACCTTTCCCACCCTAAACCCTACAATGTTTTCGAGGTAAAGGTCAATCAGTCACTCACAAATACACTCCCTCAGGGTGGAGTTGTAGTCCGTGTATCCAGACTTGCACCGACATTCGTAACCGCCTCCAGCATCCAAGTTCACGCACACTGAGTTTGGCCAGCAGAACGGGTTCGTCAGCTCCTCACATTCGTCTTTATCTGCATTGGAAAAAACATTGATTAAAGGTTCGAATTCGAGCCGTCTTCCAAAGGTACATGGATGAAAAAGAACGCTCGATTCAATATTATTACTTGTGAGCGAAAAGGAACATTATGAAATTCTCATTACGAATAAACTCCAGATTATCAACATGTCTGAAATTTATCTACGTATACCAATCTTAGTTAACAGGTGCTCCTATAAAATATTCCAGGTAATACCTAAATCGGTAAATTACGTAACGAATAAGAACCAGTGATGTTTTCGAACATTAAATCCGATTACTGGTGGCACTCAGAGTAATATCTGCAACAAACTTCGGAATTATTACAACCGAGATTTCATTTTCTCACCCGTGCCGTCAGCAAGGAATCCAATCCGTGGAAATTCACCAGCAACGGAGCCATTTGCGAATTGGTAGCACACGAATGTCTCGTTCGAACAATCGATGTAATTCTCCTCTGAAATTCAGAAACAATTTCACTATTCGTCGCATTTTTCACGGTGATAAATACCTTCACAGTCATGAATAACCTCGTAATTCAGTGTAGCCTCATAATGTGGAATAGCCTCAAAATCTTGAAAAAATTAGCAATTGAGACGTCATTGCCAGGATTTAACTTCAACTCTAAGCATGAACTCCATTAATATCCCTAATGATTCTATTATTTATATATTTACGCCTAGAAAGTGAAACATTTAGGGATTTAAACTTCCTGTCTTATTCCGGCGTACTCATTGAAACATGGGAATGGTGAAGATAAACGAAGAAATAAATCGCAACAGGACATAAAAATGGCGTAACGTAACTTGGCTTTAAACTTTGTATGGATTTCGAAATTATTGATATATTATTTATCCCTTAGGCCTTAGCGATTTATCATATGAATGATTACTCTCAAGTTTCGAACGATAAAAATAAAATTATAACCACAACTATCTTGAATGAATCTGAGTAACTTCACTTTTATGTTCGGTTTTGATTGGATACTATAAACGTGGCTGTACGTACTAATCTCGCAGTGTGTGCCGTCGCCTTCGAAGCCCTCGGCGCAGAGGCTGCAGTGGTAGCCAACGGTGTCGTCAATGCATCTTTGGGCGCAGTCGTTCCACATAGGGTTCGAACACTCGTTGTATGCTGTCAGTAAACAGTGCAATTCATTTTATTTCCGTTACACGAGAGACTCATACTTATGTAAAACATTACATCATTCGATTGCGAAAGTCCAATTTCAGTCTCAGCTAAATAAGAAAGGAAGATATTTACATTCAATTGATTAAAATTCTTGTCATATAATATTTAGAGCATGAATATAAAGTAAAGAATCAAATTTAATGTAACCTTGGATTATTCAGCCAGACAAAATGTACTCACGAACGCAGTGCGTGTCGCTGGCCTTGTACTGAGTATCGAGACATGCGCAGTGTACGACACCTGGCAACTTCACGCACTTCCTTTCCCTTCCACAAGAATCGTCCAAATTTAGAGCACTTATCACGAACAATATTCCATCCAAGTTTTACCAGCCAATAATCAATTAGTATGAAACTGATTCTACCGAACTCAATATCGAAGCTTGAATTTCACTTTAACCTTCATCCAGATTTAGTGAAATGTCTTTAAATAATGTAATCAAATTAAGAGGAGCGTTTTTCAGTCTGAATAATTTCAATTATTCAGCTTTTTATTTTTGACTGATATTTAAATTCAAATGCGAACTTTCGTTACCAAGGTTTCTTGAAAACTATTTTCCTCTGAGAAAATTCATGGTCTCTATCATCGTGAATCCATGAAAAATGATTCATGCCTCTGAAATAAATGCAATCATCCCAGTTTATGAAAATCCTTAGCGTTCTCGAACGACCGTACAACATTGAAGGAATTTAGATGAATGCTTCCAGCAGATAATTAAATGTTTTTTTGAAAAATTATTTATTCTAACCCTGAATGCAGAGCCCTGTGACGCTATCCGTCGCCCATCCATCCTTGCACTCGCACGTCTTTGCATCAGCGTTGGGGCCGCATTCCGTGACAGGATACAAGATGTTTTTATCTGCAGGAAGATAAAAAACTTAATTAAAAACTATCAACCAAGGGTGCCGCAATTAGTATCACGTAAAACTTATTTTGAAACTCGCTACTGAACGTAAGAAAAAATAGATATGTATTCTTTGTCATTAAAGCCAGCTTATCAATGAACACTTTTAAAGGAGGCGCCAAACCAACCGTTATCAATAAATCAATAAGACACGCCAAACCGGTATCAAGTTTATGCTCAATTACGGTTGGCTGCTACCATGGACTGCGCAACTTATTTTCCCGATGGAAATGATTTCACCGATATGGTGAGATTAAAGTTTAATAAAACCAGAATGATAATTACGAAACTGAAATGTGTATGCATGAGGTCCAGCCGATATAAACTCAGCTGTTGTCAACACAATAAGACGTATTAGCGTAAATTTAATACACTAATAAATACTCTAAATCGATACTGCGTAAATCAATGCTTTCCAATTTGATTAAATGGAGCGAATGACTGAAACATCGACTGATGCGGGCAATGATATTTGTTGTAGGAGCTGCTAATGAATTTAATAATATATTTATTTAAAGTTCTCAACAGTAAATTCGCAACTTCCTCAGTCGGCTACAACCATCTTAGTTTATCGGTTGCATTGTGCGTCGTCTTGCTGACTTCTGATTTGAGAGAGTGAGTAATAATTTCCTCCGCCCATGTTTTGTAAAATGACTCATTGATATATGAGGCAAGATTTTACTCGTGATAAATATCTTCAAAAACTTCCCATGACCATTCACCTGCAACATGTTTGAATAGAGTTTCTTTTAACCGAAAGTATATTTTAAATATTCATACCTTTACTGTTATGTTAAATTTTCAGAGATGGATGGATTGAACTGAAGGATAAATGTTGCTTCAGTTCCCATTTTAAATATGAAGCCTGCGTGCATGCATCATAAGCCTCCTAGATACGAGTCAAGCATGAATAAAAGTGAAAAAGTGAAACATAGGCGTAATGTCCTAGATTCCAGCCAGACTCCACTAGATATTTGCGAATGAAACCGCAATCCCGATGTTACAAACACGAGGCCGTCGATCGTTACATGCATTCGTCAAAGACTGATAGCTCGCACAGTATATTACCTACACCACAGCTTAATTTTTATTGTTGAATCTCGCGGGTGCGCGGCTTGGCGAGAACACAGGAAAGGACCGGACGCTGCAGGCTAGTTATCCGTCACTATATAAAGCTCGGAGTGTTCGGGCAATTTTGTTTTTCCGGCCAGTTTCAACTATGGCTAATTGTTGAATATATATCGCTACACTACTCATATTGCTAATAATAAAACCCTTCTTGCCTTCCAACTGCGTGTAAATTTATTAAAGCTCACCAATTTACTACAGCCTATAATTTTATAATTACCATAAATTTTTTGAACATAGCCACTAGGTCGATAAATTGTTCCAGTAGGAATGTCTTTAAGTTTTAGACCCTGAAATTCGACAGGCACAAAATTTTCTGGTAAAATAGATATTTAGAGTTTCATACGCAGCAGTAGGTACTTTCACAGGATGAGTGGAACAGAACCTGAATAGTGTCAGCTGTCCTGTGCTACCTTGGTGCAGCATCAAACCACTTTTACGTATATGAACTTTGGTTCGCAGAAATTACAAAATTCTTTACAATTCAAATTCTTTACAAATACAAAATTCTTTGGTTCGCAGAAATTACAAAATTCTTTAAATAAATTAAATATTTGTTGGAAGTTTTCCTTCAATCACTATATACGTATATAGAACTTAACAATTACATTCCTCTGTAAAAGGAGGTCGCGCTAGAGTTTTGTACGCATCCCATATATTTACCATGTGCCGTACTATAAACTACGCGTAAAAATCAGCTTCGCCCATCCATATACCGATAGTTAGTTAGCGGCGTGCCGAAGGGTAATGCTGAGGAAGACATGTATTTAGTTTTTTGTTGATCCAAATCATTGTTTCAATGCAGGCAATGTTTATATGTAAAATTCAACAGCTTTTAAGTGCACTCTACCATTCATGACACATGAAATTTAGACCTATTTCTAGCGTTACTGCATAAATTACGCACTATTTGAGTACGTTGAGTGATTTTTACAGAATACATCCTTTATTTTTGATGGTTATGAGATGTGATTCAAGCCAGGTTATACAAGGTCAGAAAACCGGCTTTATCGCACTGTGGTCAGGTTTACTGTGTTCTTTTTTGCAGGAAATAACTTTCCTTTAATATTAGCATAATTTACCTCTATCTTATCTATAGGATTTGTAATTAAATTTAAACCATTTTCGTGGGGTACGGCCTAAATCAAAGCTCTAAAGTTTAAAACAAACACAAGCAATTTGCAGCACTCGTATCAAGGCAATAACTGATGCACAGAAAAAGATAAATTTTTTACTGAAGCTTACTACTCATGTCGCATTAAATGATAAAAATATTCCATTCAATGCATAAACTAATTATCTGATAAATAAAATGGTAGGTTTAAAACTGATAACATATATATAAGTTGTTTTTTTCTGTTAGCTGTTCTTAATATTTTCGTTGCGTTTCAGACTTTCTCAAAGAAGCAATAAGGTCATAGGATGATTTTTATTTCTGTCATGAGAAAAGTAACGTTTCTCGAAAGTCTCTAATAGAATCACTGAAATCAAGTACGCTTATTTCTACCACATTTGTCAGAACAACAACTGATTGCGTTGGTTAATAAGTCACTCATACACCTATCGTAATTTGGTTAATAAGTGCCCAAATTGAATTTTCATCATTATATTTCATGCAATGTACAAAAATAATTAACAATGCCAAGTTCCCTCACTTTTATTAACGTTTATAATTTATAATGCAGTAACGCTATATTCAAATTGTTGACCTTCCGAGCAAGATACCACATATATATGAACATATAGTGTAATCATTAATAAGTAACGATAAGATATCAAGCTATTGTCCTACTACATTATCACCTGTTTGACAAAGAAAATCTGTAAAATCAACAACTAGAATGCACTTTGGGCCGCTACGGGGTCGACACAACTCACGCGCACGACCTGCCATGCCATCTCATATCTACTGGAAAACGATACTCGGTTGTCACATTACAACGTGTTGCCGCCGGACCACAGTCGTAGGGTATCTAGTGGCTCCTATAAATCAGGAATAAAAATGATCTGGCAACTCAAGCCTCCTTGAATACTGACTCAAGTAAAGTGAAATACAAGACAATGAATACTACGGCAGTCCTTTTTAAGAGAAATGAGAAATAAGTGATCGTTCAATTGACAAGTAGCAAAAGAAAACAGAGTTTTTTAGGAGCATTGCATGAGTAGCAGCAGAAGACGAGGAAAATTAAAAAAAAAACAATTAGATATGAGAAAAAAAAACGAATTTTGCATTATTCGGATGAACGCTAAACGTTGAATAAAATAATGCACGCGTTTGACGCCAAGATCAATTTTCTCCACATCAAGTGATAAATTTTTACCTAATAAATAACTTATCCTTTAACAGTAATATTCAACAATGATAGGTGTCCTAAAATTGCATTCAGTTCGAATTTAGCTTATCAAAAAATTCGCTGTATCCCATTTTTCTACTGGTGAACATAAGCTGTAACACGCACTTATTATTTCCACTTTAAAAGTAAGAACACAAACTTCGGTCCAAGTGACCTGAGAAATTAATCGTCTTGGATGAAAAAATTGAGCCGCTCACTAGTTTCTCGGTCATGCCTTCTTATTTACGAACTACTCTATTGCTCAATTTTCAAAATATTGACCTGTACCTTTGTTACTTTGCATTAAAACTTCGTTTAAATATCATATAGGATGAGCAGTTTCTGCATAGTCCCGATTATTAAGCGAGTTAATATTTATCATGAATGGCACGCACGCAGTGCTGCGCTTATTTGGGGGCCATGTCGAAGTTCTCATAGAAGTTCTCATCGTCGTCGACTTGATTCCCAGTCCAGTTCTCGTATATAGCAGGTTCAGCGATGCCATTCTTGGAAGGAACTGTAATAAAACTTCAGTCAAACTTTCACCGCAAATAATACAAGTAGACTAGCAAAGAGAAGTTAAATGTTCAAATTAAACTGTGTCAGCGTCTAATATTGCTGCACAAATATTCCAGCAGAATATAAATGTGTGATAATGGAACCTGCATACGCTTATTCAATCAGCTAACGACAAAATTTTTAATTCCACATCGACCATCACTTCACGAGATTAATCGTTATTTGGTGAACAATAATAATGAAAAAAAAAACTGTAAAAAGTTTTCAGCGATACTTTATATCAGACGATACAAAATCAGAAACCTCGTGACTCCTCACTGACCATTAAATTTTCTTACTTGCTGAGAAGACTAAAAATGAAAGAACTAATATTTTTATGGAGTAGTGAAGGTGTATTTATGACAGTGAATGTGATGAACAACGCTATAACTTACCGTACTCTGGCAGAGGCCAGCGGTCTGGAGATTTTCGGAAGGCTTCGTAGCATTTGTTTACGTACAGGTACTGGTCCTGAAATCAAGCAGTTGTAAAATTTTTCTCGTAGTTTAACCTAAAATTATTGATAACGGAGGAATAAAAGTGATAATTTTGCTGTTTGGTTCCAAGAGGAAATGTGTGTAATTTCATGACTTTTTTGATAAGCTGAATAATTCATTGCTGTATATGCCTAATAATTTATTGAAATAGCCTTCAAAATTCACTGGAAAGTCCACCAGATTTCAAACCATCGATACTAATATATCTTCAAGTGCCCCACAAAACAATACGAAATCATCAATTGATTGCACCGACGGGACAAAAGCTTATACCTTAGTTTGGACAAGCTTTGTTCTGGACTCTCGTAGTGCCAGCACTACGCTCTGAACGCTCGTCTCTCGTCGATGAAGCTTGAACAAATGACACAAGTTCCAGACAGCGATGAAGCTTCCCGTCCTCCCCACACCCGCACTGAGATAGGAAAAAATATATGCTGGTAAGTATGTGAAAAGGTAAGAGATATTAGAACTTTGTATACACGATAAACGAAAATGAGTGATTCGGTTTAAAATTTGTCATAATAGCTTGTATTCTCATCTTGTTACTCAGCATCAGTAGCAGTGCAAGTAACGAATTCGAGAGTGTTTTAAGTCATGTATCGGACAGTCTACTAGCGAAAATAGATCATTCCTAGACTTAGCAACTGATAGACCTTTCCCCAAAATTCACCCAAATTAGCCAGTAGGCATAACCACCGTACCTGCAATGCACGACAATGTGCAGTTTGGCAACAGCAACAATTTTCACATCTGCCAAGTCACTCTTGAAGGTGCCGAAAATTCACCTGAATTAGCCTGTTTGCATAGCTACCATACCTGCAATGCACGACAATGTGCTGGTTGGCAGCAGGTGTCACAGCTGCCAGGTCAGTCTAGACAGCGCTGATGAGCTGCAGTAGACTTTCTTGGTCCTCAGGTACTCCGAAGTCTTTCCATGCCAGGAAGTGGTACTGCAAAGTGGTCCTGGAAAGGCTTCTCTGTGGGGGAGTACATGAATAATTTAAGCTTCAGATATCCATTTGCACAGGTCTTTGCAAATTTCTCTTTTCACGAGTAACGAACAAAAATCAATCTTTATTTCCTCAAGTATGCTTCATGTAACGTTATTTAAAGCTTAAGATGTCAAAAACTTCAAAAATGAGTCATATTCCTTCTTTCGAATCTACGATATTGAGGCAGTCTTTTGTTTTAGTGAACGCGTATCGACAGCAATCTTATTTTGATAATACGATACGATTACAAATAAATGATCCTGGTGCGAGCGTCGATTACGATTTACCATGAAATTCAGGGTAAATCTCAATTTTCCTTTAAGTTTACGTGAACAATGGATATAAAAGCATTTATGTTTAGAGATGCTTACTTACCAAAATTAGGTTAGAACAGTTGTTAAATTGATTATATCGTAGCTTCTGATTACCTCTTCTTAGGTGTCAATAACCTACATGCCCAGTCTGTGTATCTTTGCATAACTGCTTTCACCATAGTAATGTGGGCGCTAATAATAGGCCTGATTTGGCCTGCCGCCGATTCCTGCACTTTTCTCTCCCGTGTCTGATCAACCTCGCGCAGAGATTCACAGCATGCGTGAGGTGTTCAGTCCAGCTGATACAAATGAAATCTTCTGTGTCTGATCAACCTCGATCACCGAGACCGATGCGCAGTACTGGCAAACTTTCAGCTCTAAGTGAGCTGATTTGATTTTGACTTTTTTGTCCAGCGAAACTAGAAGGCTTTTCGACTTGCTTTTTAGAATAGAATAGAAGTGTCGGCGTTGAAGAAATTTACCTCTCTGTCCAGAGAAAAACTATGCACAGAGAAAAAACTAAAATTTGAGACTGAATTGAATTGAGTAGAGTAAAAGTTCCGTCGAAAATTGCGATCCCAGCACTATTACTGAGCAAGGGAGAAACAATGGTGGGCTGAGGGAATGAAGGGATCGACGCGGCAGCCGGGTAGAGAGGGACAGAGCTAGGCAGGGTAAAAGTGACAAAGCCCGTCTCAGGAGAAATTAGGCTTAACCGAAAGCCAGGCTGGATACAACAATGTGTCCTCACTCACTAGTTTATCCTCTTTTTTCAGTAAGTAAAACAGGGAACCTCTTTTTACTCGCTACCACTCTATTTTCGTATTCTTCTTCAGTGACTTCACTTCAGTCTTTTTACTGAAACGCTTCAGCACAAAATGCGTCAATAGACTTAAACCGGCATAGTGAAAAGGCCAGTTGTGAGCTTGCGCAACATGCGCGTCCTCTTGTGACACGACTCAACCGTGACTTCTGCTTTAGGATGACCGCTGTATAAGCGCCATATTTTTATAAGCTACCGACTTGTTTTCTATCAACTTTCAAAATTCAAACAATATAGTTTATATGAGTGATATAAATCAGAGGCCTATCATTCACCGGCAGCTCATACTCCCTGTCATTAATGGAGTGAATTTCGTACTAGTATGCGGATGCCCTCCAAACAGACATCTCTAACCTCTTATAATATGAACTAAATACCTTATGGAAGCTTCAAGCAAATAAATGGAGATCTCGATATTTTTGCAACATGAATTTACCTACAAATTAAAGATTAATAACGAGCTCGAACATGAACAAAATACAAGATGATGATGAGTGCCAGCATAAAATAAAACGCCAGCAACAAGCTTACTCTTTTTTCATCGTCAAGTTTAAGCTTGCGCACGACGTAGAGCCCGTGTTCACGTTCACCCAGGTTCGTCACACGGAGCCCATCCGGTAGCAACAATGACTGGGATTCTTCAGGCCAGTACTGAGCGCACTTTACCTTAGTATAGAAAAGCCGAAAACGTCATAAGCTTTATTATTTCTAACTGCTTGCCAAAAATGAATACATCTCAACGTTTTAGATGTAATGATTATCTTTGACACTAAGAACCGTTTTCAATTTATAAATGAATAAACGGGATAAATTAAAAGCTACACACAAATTCTCAAGTTATTGAGCAGTAATAAGAAATAATATTGCTATATATTGATTTCCACTGCACGTTTGACTCAGTTTTATGAATCTGATGATGTCATTTACGAATGAAAGTTATCACAGTTGAATAGTAGCATGCAAACAAATAAACTGTTAATTGGAGACGAACCTTGCCCTTCTCGGTTGTATTTGTGAGCATCACGATGATGGCAACATTTTGCTCCCGAACCATCTGCCAGAAGTCGTTGACAGTTGAGTCTGTGGGGCCTTGAGCGGCGATGAAGGACGGCTGGTCTTGGTGGTCCTGTCGCATGAATCTCGGTAACAATAGGTCAACAAATATTCCTTTTAACTATAATACCTTGAGAAAATAAAAACAATATCTGCAATATTCTTACGACTAATATCCCACGTCATTAATTTTCGCACGGATGATAGGATGAACTGTGAACTTAGAAAGTTTTCACTTAGTCAGGTATGAAAAAGAGCTTTGATGATTATGGATTTATTTGTGCCAATTTTATGACGAATTACGAGTATTAAAATTGCAACAGTTCCATTACCATATCCTTAATGCTCGCGAATTAATGTATAGCTCTAAAATAAATTCTTCACAACTTTTCCTAACAAAATGTTCTAGAATACTCAGAACAAAATGTTAATTATAGTCAAGGTTGTGCCACATGACTCGAAAACTCACTAGCACAAAGTTTGCGTTGATGTAGCCTCCGGGGTCCTGCAGCTTGACGATACTGTGGTCATCTGCAAAGTTGAATAATTGTTTATTTGATTTCTCGAGTTTACAGATAAAGTTCCATTCCTACTATAATTAAACTAATTCATGTTTTAAACTAGAACGAATCGATGTTAGATGATATTATATTCTTCACCATTCATAAATCTAGGTTTATCGTTTTGATTTACCGATGCAACAATCAATCTGTAAAATAAGCGCTCTTGTTTTGATCCATTTTTGTTTTTAGATGTTTGCCAGGTTAAACAAGATCTAATATTAACAAGTTATTTTATAATTCCTCTGGATTACAAGGTTAAGTAAGAAATTTCGAATTAAAGTAAAAACATGCCACTTCCAAACGTTGTAACAAATGTGAAAAAAGCAAGAAAACCTAAACACGAAATCAAGCAAATGCGACAAGTTTAATCAGTTTCAGCTCACAAGGCAAGATGTTAATGTATCTATTCTTCCATTTGCTCTCGGGCCTCTCGGCAAGTAGGGTGCTGTAGGAAGAGGCGGACTCTTCGATGGCAGTGAACTCTTTGTACTTGGCTTCTTCCCAGGAGTCAGCCAGTGGCCAATTCTGCTGTCTCGACACGTACTCGGCGTAGCATCGGTACACGAACAAGAGTTGCTCCTGTAGACAACAAATTAAATAGAATTGACTGATCATTCTGACAAAATATTTAATAACGGATACTGATACTTTCGATGAGCCATCAAGTTACAAGATTTGGCTCTGCTATCGAGAAACTCGGATCAATAGAGGTCGTTTTCACCAGATTTAAGATTACTGGAACCATTATTTTAGATTTGGTATCAGGTAAGATACGTTTTTTTTAACTGACAAAACATGACTCAAAGTGAATAGTCCTATTAAGAAGTTCTTATGAAATATTAGTTTACATCAGCCGGTAATTGAACAACAACGAGAAACCACAGCTGGTGATGCCATAAGCATTACAGGTTCTTGATCACGCAAAAAATTGCTGCGACACCAGTTGGCCCTGTCGTTAAACAGAACTGGAATAAATAAAATAATAAAGAATTTATTTACAAAATAAACTGAAATATTTTACTACGGTTTGAGATCCCTGCTCTATGTCAATGATAATTTAGAATAAACAAAACATAGCCCGTCCGTTTCAATGCGGTAGAAAAATGTTACTTGCGCTTTTGTTTGTACCTTGGTCTGCACCATGATGCATCTACGCTCCCTCATTGCCAGGACTTCTCGCTGAACGTCCGAGACCTCGAGGGTTCTTTTGTACTGATGACATAAGTTCCACACACATATAAAGGTGCCTGTTCTCCCGACACCAGCACTGCACAAATATAAGAATTACAATAAAGTCATATTTGAGATATAAATTTGCTTTGATGAACTGAAAAATTCAGTCTTTACATATTTCTTCAGACAACTTTACAAAAAATCTAATTTTCCAAACAAATTCATAGAGAAACATTTTAATGTCATGTTCACACTGCATTTAATTAAAAATTTACGTTGGCTCTATAGTCACCTCAAATGAAATAGAATAGATATTCAGGTGGCTCCTTTCTGCTCCAAGCCTCCGAAATGTGTAAAATTATTTTTGATCGCTCTGATGTTTGTGATAGAATTTTACATTATTGTAAATAGTGTATATTTTGATTTAGTTACGAGTGCACAAGCCAGATGCGCGATTTGGGCTTCAAACACAACGAGGTTTATGGCAAGCCAAATAAATTTATTGGCATCATCCACGCATTCCTGCAAATTTTTGGTCTGAGAACGTTACATTCAAAAATTTTTAATGACTGATGACTTTACGACTCGCGGGCATTTACATTTTTCGGCCCCTGACCTGCAGTGCACAACCATGTGTGAGTCCGACGCTTGAGCCTCCCTGCTCAATTCCTTCGTGATGTCCCCGATGAACGCGAGGATAACACCCGGGTCTTGAGGCACGCCGAAGTCTGGCCACGCCTGGAAGTGGTACTGCTTGACGGACCGTAGATGACGATGCTGCGAGATAAGGGACAATAAAGTGCACGTAGCTTAACAAGAGTTCATCTTTTCTACGTTTATCTTAGGAAATATTTAAGGCTCAGGAACTTGAGACAAATTCGAAACTTTCGACAAATTTACTTTAAAGTAACTTTTGCCTCTGTTTCTCACCTGAGCATCAGTGATGCGCAAGTCACGAATGGTGTAATCAGCCTGCTGCTGCTCCCCAGCGTTGAAAATAAACAGGTTGGGTGCAGCCTCCAATATCTTATTCTCTTCTGGCCAATATTGATGGCATTTCACCTGTTCAAAAACAATTTTGAAAAGGCATGAATGAATGACGATTTTCTGAATGTTTAAAAGTTCTATAAATCACAGATTTGTTCCCATCGAGCTAGTTGCATTCAATTTTTATTTATTTCGATTGTTTAATGGAACTGAAATTAGGTCATTCATTCGATCGATAATCGAATAATAATAATTATGTACACCATGTAGTGAATTGCTGGTCCATTCAACTAAAGTTATTTATTTTAGCAAGTTAATAACTTTCGTAACTCATGTAATGAAACAATTTGAATTTAATATAAAATCATGCAAGTTCTGACACTAATGAAACATGTTTTATTTATATTTATCGAAATTTATTGTTACATAACTAGTACAAATGGTGAAATGGATTAAATTATGAACTTTGATTGCTCATCATATTACCTTATTCTTTTCAAGGCAGTTAGTGAGCATTATGATGAAATTGACGTTTTGTTCGAGCATCATCTGCCACCAGTCGGTAAGGGTGCTTTGCAGAGGACCTTGTGCGGCGATGAAATAATCCGATTGGTCGTAATTCTGGGAATGTTATCTTAATTATTAATAAGTAATAATTACGATTATTATTTATTAAATTACAAATTATTATTAAATAATAATTAAGAGTAGTATAAAGCGTAAAATCAGAAAACTCTTCGAGTGAAGAAATATTATTTGGTTCATAGATCAAAATGGTATGTAAGATGCATATTTTAAAATGGGACGTAATATATAGTTTGGAAATCTCAAACATTATTCATACAAATAAAAATAATTACTGTTTCTAAACAAGTCGATAAATACCAAGCACTGCGAAAAAATAAAAATTTATAAAATTCTCTTAGGCTTATTCTCTGTTGAATAATATATCTGTGTGTGAGAAAACAAAATATTGATACTTTTTATAGAACAGATTATGTTCGCACACAATCTTGCAGTGAAAATGAAAATGTTCACCGAGATTTTTAATTAACTCCCAACTTACCCTGATGTAATTCGCGTTGATGTAGTCACCGTAACTTCCCAACATTACCCTGGAGTTGTCGTCTGTGAACCAAATCATGTTAATTAACGAAATATCCTTGGCGTTGAAAAATATGCTTTCTAATCAGTTCCAGTAACCAGGCAATCTGTTTCGTTCTTTATTTAAAAATCATTCACTATAGTAGCCATATTTTCTTTTTTTTCGATTGTGCAATTGGTGAAATAAGTTTCACGCAATGTCTCTTACTCAACTTTCCTCAAAAATGTGACTTTTAAACGAATAACGTTTCAAAATTGAGAGGGTTGAAAACTTTCTACTCTGACTTAAACTCGAAATAAAGTTTCCAACAGTTTATTTCGAGTTGAATATCTTCTCATTAAATGTTTAATTAAAATGAAATAGCATCATGACTAGTTTACAGGCAAGGATGTTGATGAAGCGGTTCTTGGATGGGTTAGCCGCCGCTACTTCTGTCGTGCCGGCGTAGGAGATGCCTCGGAGGTTCGAAAATTCCTGCAGCAGAAGAAGGCCGTCCGACTCTTGCATATCCTGCCAAGAAGATACATTTAAACTGTATTACTTATTGAATGCGAAAGTTGAAATCATTCAATTCACTTGAGACGTCAGATTATGAAACTAAGTCTTATACATTGTAAAAATGAAAATGATGTTCATATGAGTACGTAAGCGTGCTCATATGAACAACAGCGTCTCCTACAAAGTAGGAGACGCTGTTGGCACGTTCTGTCTTTGTAATGCGTTTCAATGAATGTCATGTTTGGATGTTGATCGCCTGGATGCTACAATAACAATTTTTATTAAATCGGGCTGATATTTTGAGCCACTTAACTTATGGGCATATTTATTTCATATATCCATTGATTTAACGTCTGACTCATTCTAGAAGCAGGTTTACAATTTTTTGCATCGAGGATTTTTCTTTCACTTCAATATGGAAGGAAAAAAACTCACTTTCACATAAAGATGAAGATTATGATTAATTTGCCATGACCTTGCTCATTCTCATTGATTCTCTGTAACAATTCAACAAACATCATTCTCTAGTTTTTAAATAAATATCTCCCGAAAGAGAAAAGTTTGTACAATCGCCCCCACGCGTTGGAAATTGTCATTTTCCAAGTGGATGGTTCCGTGGTGAAGGAGGTTGAGTGATCAAAACATCTTATTTGGAAGTCACTTATTATATTTACACGTGGCAGCCATGAATAAAAAGTGAAACATTGATAAATTCGAGAGAAATTCAAATAAAAGCCCATGGGATATGGTCAATTTTTGTGAATATGTTTGAATAGCATGCCGGGAGCAAAAGGAGATCGATACTAAACTCTCTCTATTTATCAAACCGTTTGAGTCCCGAGAATATCTTCAATCGATTGCATTGTTGATATGGCCGATCCAGATATGCGACAGATCCAACTCTAACGTAAACTTGTTGGAATAAGTTCACACTGAATATTATAAATGAAAAATATTTATTATTATACTTGCATTTATTTTGCGCCATAAACCGGCTCCTGGTCCAGAGCTGGTTAACGTTGGAAAAACTTCAGTAATTGTTGCCGCGCTTCCGTTGCTGTGTATGTAATTAAAAAATTCGCATATAAAAATAATCAAATTATAATTAAGAACCCTAACATCAAACATTCAGAATCAAATGAGACGTACCTAATGAAAAATTCTTCGGACACTGAGGCATATCGGAACTTAAAAATATATTTATAAAAATATCATAAAAATTTAATTTTTCAGCTATTAAAAGATTGAACAAACACCTACGCCACGATAGAGACCATTAATAACACGTGTTGAGCTCATAGTTAACCTCGTCTGTTGAAGAGCTCATTTAATCATATCAATTCTACGAAATTTGGTCTCAATATTTCGGTTACTCGAGCATTATTTCCAGGCCGTTAGCATATTGACGATCACAAGGGGGTGCAGAAATAAGACACATTAAAAAAACACACTAGAGAAATGTGACACTGAAAAGTGTAGGCCATTAAACCATTCATATTTAATTTTTCTATCTCTGAAAAATATACCGTTTGAATAGGTAGCGTTATTTCTCTTTCGAATCTAAAGTTAATAAAGAATGAATTACATGCTTAATCGACCATATAAATTAAATAATAACACGACAAAAAGTGATGAAATATGCCAGTGAACAACTTGAATATAAGGCAGGAGAATACGAATTGCAAGTACACTATAAAAAGCGTAAAATAAAACAAATAGTGCCCTACTCACGTGTGAGCTTTTTGTGGTTTTATTTTTTTCATCTGCTGCCGAACAACGTCTCTCCTAACATAGCCCAAGACCACAAGCACTACGAGGATGATAGCGAATATCGTGAGCCCCACGATTAGAGGAACTGGGGAGTCGACGGTCATCGCAGTGACGCTGTTCCTGCTCACACCGCCTCCCGTCCAAGCCTGGAAGATGAAGAAAACTAATCATTAGTAAATATTTTATCAGCATGCATTCACAAAAAAATGTAACTCAGTACTCACTGCAGTGAGTGACAAAGAGCGCATATTCTCGTCGACGAAAACGTGAAGTCACGGACGACAGAGAGACGGACGGATGGACATGGCGAGCACAATAGTGCATTTTTTCCATAAATGAGAAAATGCGCTAAAAATATTGAAAATTGAGAAATGATTTAATTCATATGGAATCAAAGTTTTAACTTTACGAGCCTTGTTTTTTTATCAGGATTTAAAAATTTTTACCACTCATTTGAGAGAGAGTTTCTCTATTGAAAAATTTTCGAAATATGATAGTCTTCGTAAGTTTTTTGTCTACCTGCATGTAAGGCTATCGAGACCCACCAAATGTAGGACGAATGATGTTAATGATGATTATATAAAAGAAATATTGATTATCAAAACATATCTAACCTCAGAACACATACTTCTTGTCAGATTACACTTCAACTGCATCAGTGATGAAAAGGACCTTTATACCAGAAATCTCCTAAATCGTGCTGACTTACCCGGGGACCATATAGTTGTACTTCATTAGTAATTGCTATATATAGGGCCTTTTCTCAAGCGCAAAATAAAAGCAAAGATAGTTGATTGAGAGGAACAATATTACGAAGATCTGACCTCGACTGTAACGTTGTACGGTGTCTCGTATCGCAGGTCATCAAATACGCAATGGTCCTGCGTTGACGAAGCGTTGTACGTCGCCACGATGGTATCGTCTTGGCGGAGTATGATTTGGTACCGCAGCAAAACGCCGTTCAGGATTTCCGGCTTAGACCAAAATATTTCCAGCGTCTTGTGACGTGCTTGGTACGGCTTGATACTGGGCTCAGAAGGAGCTGCACAATAAATGAAGTTACACACAAGAAATCTGAAAAAAATGTTAATGCTAATGTGTTAGCTCGTGTCAAAAGTTAACATTTCTGTAACTTTTCCCGAATACAGTGCGATTGAGAGTTAATTGTTGTTTTGTAACGTATTTGTTCAGCAGTGAAACGATGGTGCAAATTGCGACCATGCATGAAATATGAATAGATGTGTACGCACGATTTTCAGCCGCGATCATTAGAATGATACCGCGCTGTGAATATGATTGCAAATTAAGTTTTTATGATTACTTCACTGAAACATTTATTCTTAATTAAGAAACTTCGTATATCTTGCCTTCACATTAGCTACTTATAAATTCGCTGCTATAACAATGCCGGTACCTCATTTGTAATCTCCCAACATATCCCATATTATTTTACCTAGTTTCCCCATACTCATGCACGAGTAGATCAATAACGACATCACACCCACCGTCCTGCAACGTCTGCGTCAGGAGGGGAGCTGCAGACGTGCCCTTGCCGGCGTCCGTGGCCGCCGTAACGACGACGTTGTAGCTGGTGTAGGGCGTGAGCTGCACAAGCGTCACCTCCTCTGTATTGTTACCGTCGCCGGGAACGTACGTGGTGTTTTCTGTTCTGTTGTTGTCCCCCCAGAGCACCTCGCCGATATAGTCGACGAAGTAACCTGTTATCTCACACTCCGTGTCAGGCCTGTCCCATGTCAACGTCATTGAGCGACTTGCCAACGAGACGTCACTCAAGGATGTCACCGCTGGCGGAACTGAGGAAGGAGGAGATAACTAAAAAATTTTTTCCTATTTAAAAAAATATATCTATTCGAAACTTTTCAGTGGGAGCAAATAAAATCATATTCAACTGCGACAGCAGTTCCCCATTAAACTCAACTTAACGACTGAGTTAATGAGCAGTTACTCAACTTAACGACTCATTAAATTCTAATTTCGAAATCAGCAAATATTTTTCTCACTCAAGCACAAGAACCACTAAACCGTTGATAGGTTCGTGAATCTGAAAGTAACGTAATGATTCTGTTTCATATTAAGGCTGAAAAAACCTTCAGTGCCAGTCGTAGCGTCGATGTAGCTCTCCTCCCCATAGCCACCTCCCGTTTGAGCCTTGACGGTAATGTTATATAGGACGCAAGGGATGAGGTTTTCAATGAGGAAGCTTGTGGTGTTGACTTCAGTTGATTGATTATCGCCTGATCCATCAACCCAAGTTATCAGGTAGTCGCCCAAAATTCCATTCTCTTTCTCAGGGACCTCCCACGATACAAATATCGCTGTCTTACTCGTGAAGTTTGTCATCGGGTTACGGACTTCAGAAGGTGCTGCAAGATAACAAATAGGCTTACTCGAATCTCGCTTGGTGAACCATTACTTTACGATTTCAAGATGGTGATCCGACATCAATCGTATTGTGATTGCTTTTTTATGATTGAAGAAGATATTTTTTCGCCTAATTATGTTACCTTTTTTGTGTTCATTTTTATCACATAAACATCACATCTGGATCAGTACGTAAGCGTTTATGATAGAAAATCCTGGTGGTACCGGAAGTTTAAATGAAGCCATAATATTTTTATCTTTAAACTTCGATAGCTTCGAACATCTAAACCGACCAAAACACTCACGCGCTTGTTTAGTGTTGGTGACTAGTTCAGAGGAATTTCCAGGCCCCTCTTCTGTCCAGGCCACGACCGTGATCGTGTATTGAGCGTACGGCGTGAGATCATCTATCTCGACATACTCCTTGTCACCGTTTACAGGGACCGATCCATTCAAACAAGTGTGGTTCCCCCACAAGATCTCGCCGTAGTAGCTGACGCTGTAGTTAGTGATGACGCAGGTGGTGTTGGGCCTCGACCACGACAGCAAAATGCTGCTGTCCGTTACGTTCGTGCAAGTGAGATCCGTAACCTCGGAAGGAACTGCCCAGCAAAGTTCAAATCGGTCTATCTCAGATGCTTGTCTGACAGTATCTTTCTGTGAGTAAGATTCTATTTATACGTAGATAGCGATAAAAAATTCCTATTTATCATAAAAATAAATTTTAAAGTGCATGTTGAAAAATCCAAGACGTCTCAGGGTAACATAATTTAACTTCAATATATTTGTTAGTCACAAAGATTAAATCTTGGGCGGTTCATTCAAGCAGAAGAGGAAATCTAACCTTATCCGACAATTTGGTGTGTACACATCTTACACAATTAATCAAATCCTAAAATCCTAAATATTCTTCGAAAATATTTCTTCTCTTAAGAATATTATCTCTAACTATTATCCTCCGAAATTGTCAGAATGAGCGTCACTTAATTGTAAAGCGTCATGAGACTGTCGGCACCTTCGGTTTCCGTCGTCTCGTTGGTGTAGCTCTCCTCCCCATAGCCAGCTCCTGTTTGAGCCGTGATTGTAATGTCGTAGAGAACGCAAGGGTTGAGGTCTTCGATGAGGAAGATTGTGTCGTTGACTGCAGTTGATTGATTATCTCCGTATCCATCATCCCAAGTTATAATGTAATCGCCCAAAATTCCATTTTCTTCCTCAGGGACCTGCCACGATACAAGTATCTCCTTCGGACCCGAGGTGATTGCTGTCAAGTTACGAACTTCAGAAGGATCTGCAAGATAACAAATTGATGTCAAGTTGAAAATTGCCCAGGAACCGGAGATATATCGTATCTTGTTAATGAGCTCGCCTTAATCGATTAACTTTCTCTTCTTAATTGAGCGGGCCTCTTAACCTATGTATTTGATTTCGGAAATTAATTATGTCACAACGCGAATAAATATGATTATATCTTCGGTATTCACAGGAGCAATTTTCTGAACTAACGGGCGAGAGTATTTGTATTCAATTTATATCCAATTCATATTTCGCTTGCCCTGCAAACAGACCAAACCGACAAAGGCACTTACGCGCTTCCAGAGTGCGAGTCACCAGCGGTTCAGAAGGTCTCCCGGGCCCCTCTGCAGTCGAGGCCACGACCGTGATCGTGTATTCTGTATACGGGATGAGATTGGTAATAACATAAGATTCTTCCGAGCTGTTAACTGAGCAGGATCCATTCGCCCAACTGCCGTTCCCCCACAGGACCTTGCCGTAGTAGCTGACGTTGTAGGCTTGTAGCCTGTGATGTTGCACTCCGTGTCGGGCGTCGACCACGACAGCGGAATGCTGGTGCTCGTCACATTCGTGTTAATGAGAATCGTAACCTCCGGAGGAACTGCCCAAATTTTTTTAAATTTAATCGATTTATCAGCGGATGCTCATCTGACAGTGCTTTTTTGTGAGTGAGATTCTTTTCGTACGTAGATCGCATAAAAAATTATGTATTGGCATCAAGATATTTTAGAGTAGAGATTGACAGTGCCGACCGTGACAGTGAGATCCATCACTCCGGGAGAAACTGGTCGAGTGAAAACAGAAATTTCACTAGAATGCAATCTTTTTTTATGGTGAAAACGATTGTGAATTAGGCTGCTCTGATAATTTTTAAGCGATCTTTGCTAGCAACAAGTACTGCTGAGAGCATTTATTTAATTAAGGGAATGCTTTGGAAGAAAATTCGGTGCATATTGGGTGTATTCGAATTTTATTAGTGTGAGAAAATCAATAGAAAGTCTGAAACATCAGCTCTTGATTCAATTCGTGGTCAGGATAACCAGAAGAAAACATTTGAGATGAAATTCACAAATGTTTCAATTGCATCAATATAGACGCCATCTATAACATCTTGAATAACAAGCCAGTAACATTATACCACCCACTCATTCTTCCACAATTAATTGACACCCTTTTCTTAGCCGGACAATGTCTAGCCTTGACAACATCGCCCGAAATATTCTCAAAATTAATTTTAGAACACAATAAGAATATTGTCACCATCTGAATCAGTCGTAGCGTCGATGTAGCTCTCCTCCCCATAGCCTGCTCCAGTTTGAGCCTTGACGGTAATGTTATATAGGACGCAAGGGAAGAGGCCTTCAATGAGGTAGCTTGTGGTGTTGACTTCAGCTGCTTGATTATCTCCAGATCCATCATCCCAAGTTATGAGGTAGTTGCCCAAAATTCCATTCTCTTGCTCAGGGACATCCCACGATACCAATATCTCTGTTGGACTCGTAGAGTTTGCCATCAGGTTACGAACTTCAGAAGGATCTGCAGGATAACAAAATGACAGATTTGAATTTTGTTTATTAACAGTATTTTACGATAAACAGACAATGAACTAACTTCAACGCTTTTCTTTTTGCTTACTGATTAATAAGAGAGCTATTGTGCCGATTCATTCTATGAATTTGCTTGGAAATTGTTACGATAATTAGACTGAAAAACATGCAAAGATTATGAAACTACGAGAATGAAAGAATGTGGTGACTTTGCTCATCTATTTTCTTGCGCTTGATTATTAATTACTCCTATCTGGTTTTATCAATTAAATTAAGTATTTACCAAATTTAAATGTCTTGTTACCATTTAGGACTATCTATACCAACAGGTCTTTTCAATTGATTATTTCGTGAATTAATATATAAACAATAAATCCAAAACTCAAAGCTTCTTTAATTAAATGACCACATCGGAACAGGTATTGATTTCTCACACGCTTCGTCAGTGGTAATGATTAGATCAGAAGGCATTCCAGGCCCCGCTTCAGTCGAAGCCACGACCGTGATCGAGTATTGCGTGTACGGAGTGAGACCGACAATCTCGACATATTCCTGGCTCCCGTTTACAGATCTCGATCCATTCACCCAGTTGCCGTCCCCCCACAAGATCTCGCCGTAGTAGCTGACGCTGTAGCCTGTGATGTCGCACTCCGTGTCGGGCGTCGACCACGACAGCGCAATGGTGGTGCTCGTCACATTCGTGCCAATGAGATCCGTAACCTCAGGAGGAACTGCCAAAAAAAATTTAACCGATTAATCAGCGGATGCTCGTCTGACAATGCCTTTTTCTGAATGAGCTTCAATTTATACGTAAATCTTATAATAAATTTCACTTTGGCACTTATAAGGAAGTTTTAGAGTGTAAATTAACAAAGACGACCGTGACAGGGAAATCCGTCACTTCGGGAGAAAGTGATCGAATGAAAACAAAAATTTCAGTAGACTGATTACCTTTTTGGATGATAAAAACCAGAATGTTCCCTTACCCCCTACATTTTAATTTCAATTTCAATAAACTAAACCCTCTTACATCCCACGATGTCTTATACAATGTGCTCAAGC